GTTGCTCTAAGGAGACCAAAGAAGTAGCTTTACTGATACTTAATGATGAGTTCTATTTAGTGCTAGGGTATAAGACATCACAGCAAAAATATTAGTTTCCTGTTGAACATCTTAGCAGTTGGCTGATGAATGCTGGCACCAGGGCCTAGGAGCTGAGCTGCTAGTACAGCATGGGATTAGGCAAGGACACTAAGACATTGCTTATAGACCTCCGAGGGTGCTATAAGGTAGATTCTGCTTGAAGAGACAGGGAGTAGGAAGTAGTGACACTGTCACAAGTTAAACCAACAGCTTATGAGGAATCGATCCTCTTTAATAATAATTCACTGTCTCTGTTCAAAAGAAAGTCACTGAATCATAGAACTGTAGAGGTTGGAAAGGACCTCTGGAAATCATTGAGTCCAATCCCTCTGCTAAAGCAGTTTCCCTACAAAAGGTTACATAGGAAAGTGTCCAGGTGGGTTTTGAATATCTCCACAGAAGGAGACTCCCCAGCCTCTCTGGGCAACCTGTTCCAGTGCTCTGTCACCTTCAAAGTAAAAAAGTTCTTCCTCATTTTCGGAGAGAACTTTCGTTTTCTGGTTTGTGTTCATTACCCTTTGTCACTGAGCACCAAAAAGAGCCTGGTTTTATCCTTGTGATTCCTGCCCTTTAGATATTTATAAACATTGATAAGACAAGAACATTAGTTCAAGAAAGCTCTAGATGTACTTAAGTCTTCCCTCCAGAGAGGTCAAGTGGCATCTCCAAGGCCACACAGAAAGTCCAGAAGAGCAGAAGTTCTTGATCCCAGGTCCAAGTTCATAGGTGCCTTTTAGCAGCATATTGTTAATGTTTTTCCCATTTAGAAGTTATTGTGCTGTTTAAAAATTCTGTGTTTTTTATATTTATATGTTCCAATATAAGATTAAACTTGGCGAAGCACAAGTTTCCTAATTTACTCACCTGAGCAAAAGTAGAAGTTACCAAAACTGACTTTGTGTTTCATGGTTCAAAAACATGTGGTGGTTTAGGACATTTAGTACCTGTAAGACATACTGTCTCTCGTTCATGCCAAACACATATATCACTCAAATGTGAATATGGTAAGTTTGTTTTAAATTCCTGTGCAAGTGAAGATCCAGTGAAAAATGTGTTGAGGCCAATGAAGTCTCTTGAGTGATGGACACTGGATCAGGGCTTGAGTCCACATGATAATACCCCAGGGTACAGCATTTACTGCAGATTACAAGTGTGCCAGTTATTGTCATTGCCTGGACACCTGAGCCGATTGGTAAATATGTAAACAAGGACGTGAAGTAGCAAATGATGCAAACGAAACAAGAAAGAATGCTCTGGGCAAATACAGGTGCAGGTTTCTATGTACACAACATGATGCACTTCACCTAAGCATATGCTTCAATATACCACTGAAAAGTACTTAAACTGGTCTTTGCATAACAAAACATACTGCATTTTTTCTATTTTATTCAGCAAAAAGGATTGGTCTTATCAATCAGAAATGACTTTCCATTTTAGCACAAATAAAGTATATTTATGTCCCCTGTTTTCAGAAAGAACATGGAATGAAGCGGAAAGAATACAGCTGGGATGCATAAAACATGGAAGATCTCTTTGGGTGTGTATGTTATAGAAGTGTCTACACTGTTAACTCCATTTCCTCCAGGAACACATTGGGATGATTCAGTTTTTTATGACTGGATTTTGCTTATCAGCTCATATAATCTAATTATAAGTTATAGGCTTGTGATTTAATATTAAGACACTATTCAGGTTTTGTCCATCTTTTAAAGATCTTAGACTGTATTTTTAGGGACTAAAACCAGCTGTTAGCCAGAGATCTAGACATATTTTGCAGATTATTAATTCTGAATTAACATTTATTATCACTATGGAACACTTGATATCTTATGGAGACTGAATTTGTACTGGTAACACTGAAAAAAACTGAGTATGAATAAATGATAGACAGTAGATTTTCTCCATGTCTTAAGTAAAAGTAAGGGATAACAGCTTTAGAGGAACATTTGAATTTAATATTAAATGGAAAGAAAGCTATGTAAGGTAACTGATTCACAATATTATTTACACCAAGTCTTGGCAAAAACAATTAGGTATGTTCTTCCTGTAGTTGTCCAGATTTGACTACAGCTCTTCACTGCTCATGGGGATCCCTTCAACCTTCAATTACATCCACAATCCTAACTCATGAATTTACATTTATCACCCTAAAACACAAGACAGTTCAGTGACCCAAATTCTAACCAAATTCCAGTAGAAGTGAGCCTGAACCTTAGAAAAACATCCTGTAAATATCTGCCTTCTTCAATGCCTTCAATTTACAGGAGATCTGCTCACTGTTTAACCCAACCACTGCCTTGTTTATGGCAGCAAATGAATGACTTCATTTGATGAGCTGGAAGACGCAGGTTGGAAGGAAACTAGAATAATGCTGCTAACATACCAATTTTCAAACAAAAGTATTCCATGCCTTTAAGTGAATTAAAAGGGAGGATCTCACTCATGAGGTTAATTACTGATTCCTTCTATAATCTCAGAAGCAACCACCATCATAATTAATGCATTAACGTGTTTGTTTTACTGGGATGAGCAATATCCGTGTTGACTTTTAAAGTCTGGAATATTGGTTTTGACATTGGCTGACTCCAGAGATTTGCAGATATCTGAGATCTGAAGAGCCCGCAGCCTTATTCTCTTCTTCCTTTTCCATTGCATATCAACAGTAAATCCCTTAAATCAATGGTCTTCAGATCATATCAAACTGCTCTAAGTAGGAAAAGGAATAGGCAAGAAGTGAAATGTACCAGATAAGAAGCAAAGCTGTACAAGTCAAATCCCACTCACTGGGATGGGCAGATCTTGCTGCGCCATCATCCACGGCAAGCTCCCACAAAACACACTGCTCACATTTTAAAATTACAACAATCCTATTTTCATACATATAACCTATGTGGTAGTGTAGAAAAATCATGACTTTGTGGTTCAGTGGGAGTGTGGGCTTTGTGCTTGTACCACACAATCTCACACCTCTGTCTGGTTCCCCACTTCATAGCATTGCTGACACCTATGCCCTAGCCCACTGCTCCGTCCTCACAACCATGCTGCCTCTGAACACTTGTTAATTTTTACTTTTTGTGGAAAGGGGCTGTTTGAAAGCATAAGTCATCTAAGTACTTCCAAAGGACCCGAGGAGCATCTTATGGCACAAAAATATGAATGGAGAGGATGTGGTGATGCCGTACTTTGTCTGGGGTTGGAAAAAAAAGAGATCGACAAAAACAGACAGAGCAAGAACTGAGCAGATCTCTGCCCTTGCTGGTGTTGGCTCACATCATGCCCTTAATGCAGATGTCATGATCTACTGGTAGCACAGGAGAGTGAAGTTTCCACACCTTTACCACTGTGACATTTCCCATAAATTCTAATGAAAAAAAATATATATGAATATACACAGAGACACTGACTTTTGAAAGAGATCTGGTGTGCACAAGCATCATCCTTTCCCTCACCTCCAGGGGTGTGCAGTGGTGTCAGAGAACCTGAGCACACCTCTGTCTGCCGGATGTCCCCTCCCTTGCTGGCATCAAACATAATTGCTCTGTGATGGGCAAGCCAAAGTACAGGTCCGGTAATATCTGAGCAAACAGGCAGAAACCTGATACTTGTAAGCTGTTCTTTCCTCCTCAAATCAAAAGATGCTGAAGCAGGAAATGTGATACTTCCTACTTCTGCTGAATGTTCCTCTGCCCTTTGCTAGTCCTGAGCCAGATGCCTCCCTGCTAGGGCTGGGTAACAGCTGTCTTTGATGCAGCCATCAGACAGGGATGCAGTCATAATGTGAGCTCTGAGAACCGACCACTCTGCACCCGAGGTGTGAGATCCTACTGCATGGTGGACAGGAGCACCCATGCTGCTGCCATCTCAAGCCTCAGGTACATTTAAATATGCAGATTCCGAGTTCAACATCTTTCTGTCTTTTTAGGACAGCATTAAGTAGAATAATAGTATGAAAAGCAACGGCAACTTACAGGTCCAGTCAATTTTTGAAAATCAAAAAAAAAAAACAACCACCGACTCTAAACAGGTGCATTTTTTTTTTCCCCACGAGATACGCCCGATGTACACGCTGGGTAAAATCCCGTGCAAGTAGGAGTCCTCCCCTCGCCGATCCCATCCGCTGGCTGTATCTCGCGTGGTCGGGAGATGCGAGCAGCCGGTAGCCAAAGTGTCCCGGGCTGGACACTAGGAGCAGGCGGACAACAACAAATAAGCAGAAAAAAAGAAAGAAAAAAAAGAAAACAGAAATAAAAAAAGAAAAAAGAAAAAAAAAAAAGGAATAAAAAGAAAAGAGCTGAATAACAGAAGTGTTCTCGTCCCTGAGCTCTGAGGCAAAACCCACCGCAGTGAATCACCCAGCTCTGACCCCTCACCCACCCGAGCACGGCGAACCTCCCGGCCCCGACTTCCGAGCCCCCGCCCCGCGGCTCCTCCCTCGCGGCCGCGGCCCCGCAGCCCGCCGGGGCGGAACCGGACGCCCTACAAAGCCCGCGCCCGGCGGGGCGGGCGGCAGAGCGGCGCTGGGAGGAGGGGACGCTTCTCTTGGGGGGTGGCTGCGTTCTTCTGAGAGGAGAAGGAAAGTTCTGCCCCAGCCTCGCTGCCGTCCCGCCGCGTGCTGCCTGCCCCTTTTTCCTTCCTCCTCGTCCCGTGAGGAGCGGCGGGAGATGGAGGGGCCGTCCCCAAGGTGTCGGACCCGCAGCCGGCGGCTCGGGGAGTGAAACTTTGCGGCGGGGACCGGCGTGGGGCGGCCGAGCGCCTTTCCGCGGGGCCGGCAAAGTTTCTGGTGGCCGCCGCCCGCCCACGCCCCCGGCCCCGCTGCTATGGCACCCGCCCGTCGCCGCGGGGCGAGCAGCGGGCGGCCGCCTCCGGCTGTCCGCGCGGCGGCGGAGGGGGGGCGCGCAGCCCCCGGTCGGCGGGCGTCCTTCTCCGGGCGGCAGTGACCGCCCCGCCGTCTGCCTGCCTCCGCCCGAGCCTCGCCGCGGATGGGGACGGGCGAGAGGAGCCTCCGCCTGAGCCCGATCCAGCCGCCTCTTCACCGGAGCGGCCCCATGTCCTCCTCCCCGCGCCGCGCAGCCCCGCAGCGCTCCCCGCCGTGAGAGCGGCGGACGCCCCGCTCCTCCCCGCAGGTAAGCGCTGGGGGGTGGGGGGGGTGTGTGAGGGGTGCTCCGCGCCCCCGAACTCGCAGCGCTTCCGCGGGGAGATCGCTCCCGGCTGGGCTCCGGCGCTGGGCGGGCTGGAGGCGCTCCTGGAGCCCTGGGCGGCGGGGGGTCAAGCGGGCGGGGGAGGAGAGGCACACAGGGGAGAGGCACGGGGTTTTTTTTTTTTTTTTTCTCCCCGAAATAGACTTTGTTCCTCCCGCGCGGAGCCGGCGGCACGCCGGGTCTGCTGCTTCCGTGCAGCTGCTACACCCTCTTTTGTCTGCTTCGGCTCCGGAATACTTTGCGCGCTGCCACCGCCCGCAGCGCTCCGGCCTCGGCAGCTGCCTCAGGGCTTCGCACCGCTGCCTTCCCCGCCCCGGGAAGTTCCGCGTTCGCTTTTATTACCGCCCAAGTTCGGGTTCTCTTCAGCTTTGTTTGAGGAAAAATGGTGGTGTGCAGAGTGCTGGAAGGGCGAAGCGCGGGGACAGCAGGGGGGTTGCACTGATTCCCTCGGTGAGAGCGCACCTCGCTGCTCGAATAAATCTCTCCCCGAGCAGCCAGAAGCCACTCTGGAGCAGGCTTTGAAGCAGAGTGACCAGGAGCAACTTGGGGGTGCGGAGCAGGGTCTCCTGATATCCCGTTGCCACAAGCATTGTTGTGTTGGTGCTGAATTCAGCATGCGCGCAGCTGAGACTGTGGGAGCGATGTCCATTGACACTTGGGACTGATTGTCATTAACCGCTGCTGTCTGCTTCATACAGAGCTCATAAAAAATAAAACTGCTTTTCCTCTTTAAAGACGAGAGCGTTCAGACAAAAGTATTCTTCTAGTGTGTCGTTCTGTATAATGTGAGCTTCAAAATAACCTGTGGTCATGTGGTGGATGCTGTGCTTACAGTGCTTATGGGACTGAGGGCTGTATTGCTCAAGACAGCCTTGCCACCAGAGGTGGTGTAGCCTCTGGCTCACCCTATTTCAGATCAGTACTCTGGCAACGGCTCTGTTATTCTTTGTTAACTAGGTGGTACTTCCTATCTGTGAGGGAAACCAAGTGAGTATCCAGATAGAAACAAACAGTGCATTTCTTCCTTTAATTATTTTTTTTTTGTACTCCTTTGTAGAAGGTACAAAGAAAACCTGAAAATTTTATTTCCACTGAAAGCAATTTGAATTATTTAGCAATGAAGCCAAAAGGTCTATTGAGTTCGGAACATTTTAATGTTCTTCTAGCAAAATACTTGTTAGAAGATAACTTAAATGGTTTTTTGACAGTAATTGGAGACATGGGAAAAGATGTGTGGTAGGTAAGTAGCAGTTTGAGAAATAAAACCATACATGATTTTTATTTTCTTAGCATGTTTGTTGCTCCTTTGTTGGTTTGCAACAGTAATCCAAAGGTAGGCTGGAAAAGGAATAATGATGCAGGAGTTAAGCACACTAGAATCATTTTATTCCTTGTATAGAAACAGTTCCACCCAATACAGTCTCGCTGGAATTGCAACAGAATTCATTTTTATGGAAGCTCTGTAATCAAATTAAGTGGTGGGCTGTCTGAATTTAATCCTGTAAAGTAGGGACTGAGCGAGCTCTGTTCTTGAAGCACTGCAATGTATGCTGACCCTCAAACAGGTGAGTAGTACCAAAATCCATCTCTAATGATTACCAGTGGTATAAGTTCATTGCTTAGAACAATAGGCCAGTAACTCCACTGAAACTGTTCACTGGTTTAGCAGCATTACTGGACTTTTACTGGATCAAGCTGTATTGTAATGGGTTCTGCTTCCATTTTCTTGAATACTAGGCATATAACACAACACCTGTGCCATACACAAGTCTTCACATCAGCCACATCTTGTGGGTTGTATGATCTCAATTGACTCATGTCTCTCTGGGAACAAAAGAGGGGAAAAGAAGTGAAAATTAGTTAAGGACTAGAATGTGTGTAGGAAACAGCAGGAGACTGTTCTCATAGCTTGTTCAGTATATTTTAGGAGCCAAAAATCTGAAATGCTGAAGATCAGTGAAGACTTCCAGTAGAATCATTGAAACCAAATAAAGGTATGATATAAGAAGTATAAAACCTATGAGCTGCTGGCATGAGTAGCTTCCTATTTTTTATTTTTTATTTTTTTTACAGGAGGGGAATCAACTCTTTGAAAGGGTGAGTGACAGCAGGACAAGGGGAAATGGTTTTAAGCTGAGGGAAGGGAGATTTAGGTTGGACGTCAGGGAGAATTTCTTTACGGAGAGAGTGGTGAGGTACTGGAACAGGCTGCCCAGGGAGGTTGTGGATGCCCCGTCCCTGGAGGTGTTCAAGGTCAGATTGGATGGGGCCCTGGGCAGTCTGGTCTAGCATTAGGTGGAATGGTTGGTGGCCCTGCATGTGGCAGGGGGGTTGGAGATTCATGATCTTGAGGTCCCTTCCAACCCTGGCAATTCTGTGATTCTGTGATTTTACAGAATGTTGACAGTTTTGTCTATGATAGCAGTAGAGGAAATAAGAGCTTGATATCCTAGGTAGTGACGGTGTGTACGCTTGACTTGGTGCCATTATGCTTTTTAAACAGATAAATTACTTTTGTCTACAGGTGTTTGATCTCATGGTGCTGGAAGAAAGAAAATTGCAAATTGCTTTCCAGCGTGCAGGAGCAGACACTGAAACTAGGATTCATTTGTGAAAGCATGGGCATCTTGTCCCAGTTTAGATACCATAAGATGTTTCAGATACTGGCATGTGGCTGGCAAAGAGTCTAAGGAGAACCTGACCACTTGTAGAAAGGCAGCTAAAGGCCAGATAGAAAATCCCATTAGGTAATGTTTATGCTACCGTTGTACACAGAAGCTTTTAAAAGGGCTTGAATCTGTTCTGCAGAAACCTTGTAGTTAAGATTTGTGATGCTGCAATCTGATGGATGTGGGAAGACATCCCAAATATGCCATTGCTGTGAGGATTCAGGGAGGTTCTTCCTAGTGTGTGTTTACCAGCAGAATCTTTGTACTGCTTCCTGCGCTGTGCCTCTCTTATGTTGCTCAAGTAGTAATGAATAGTAATCAGTAACGTAATAATTACCAATCTTCTTAGAAGGTTCGTACACATCTCTTTATTTTAGAACATGCGCACATTCTTGGTCCACTAGAAATTGAAGGCATTGAGTTAGTGCTTTTGTTTTAAAATAAGAATAAAGTAAGGAGAAATTTCAGCTTTTTTCCCTTACTACCACATCACCCACACAATCTATGGGTAATTAGGTTCTTAATAAGTGGATTGTAGATTGCACGGAGAGGTGAAATGCTGACAGCGCTGGTGAATGAAACTGCTGAACAGATGTTTGGCACAGCTGTTACCCTACCCACTCGTTTTAGTAGTCTTCATTTTGTGGAGTTGGTGAGAATAAGCATTGTTCTCAATTTCCTTCTTGGGACTACAGTCTGACTGTACAGAAATTTTCTTGTTCTGTTCTGCTCCTAATAGCTTCTGTTTGACACACAGTTTAGCACCTACACTATCACTATATTTGTAGTCTCTTCTCATCTCAGTGTACCCCAGCAGGAGCAGATGAGGTAGACTTGATGGCTGAACACAGTACTGAAATATTAAGAGTATATTGGCTGATCTCCTTGTATAGATGTAATTGCATTAACCTACCAGAACTTTATTGTAGGATCAGTGGTTTTAAACTTCGTGTTTTTGCTTGGCTACTTTTCCTTAAAAATCAAATGTTTTTTTCCTTTCTTTCTTTTCTTTCTCTTCTTAAATTTTTTTTTGCACAGCCAGCCAAATGAGATGGATATCTCATAACAAAGAGCTGCTTGTAATCTTTCATCTACAGTACTGACAGAGCATGTTTGTATCGCTCAGTATTCTTATTTTGATCTTCTGGCGATAGAAATATTACAAAGAGCATTTGGTTCTTTTTGAAAATAATTCAATAAGCAGAAGATGTGAAAAGGGAGGATGATTTTCCTTTAAGTCATCGTATCTGTTTTTCCCTGTTTCATGCTGGGGAGATTTGTCGTAACTAGAAAAGTGTGCCAAAGAAGCGCAGAGCCACCTAACCAAAACTGAGTACCTGAGGATCTTGTCATCTTCAGTGAAATGCAGTCATCCAGCAGAGAGTTTGGGGAAAGTAATGCCAAAACAGAGTTGTGGGAAATGAAGCTGTGAACTGCCTTTTTGTGCACGGCCACTGAGAGTTGTTAGGAGGAATGTTAGGCAGTTGTCGCTTTACTCTCTGGTGTCCATTCTGATAAACATCTCATTATTTGTACCCCACTGGAGTTGTACTCAATTATTCTTTTTATTTTCCTCCAATTAATTTAAGTAGAATCAAAGGGCATTTTTTTCCTACATTTTTGTTTCACTTCTATTCCACTGAGCTTCACAGTGATACTCTTACTGATACTGAGGAATGAGGATTTGATTGTTTCCACTTCATATGCAAGCTCTAACCAAGCAGATTTTAGAAATCACAAGAGATAGATGACATAATGTAAGTTATTCTCACTGCCACTAGTTTAAAGGCAGAGAACTCAAGAAGAAAAGTCTCCTTTTATGACTTTATTTTTTTTCTTAGCTGTTTCACAAAGACCACTGGACTAGACATCCCAGTGATGTCATTTGAAAACCCTTGGGTAAAAAGCATTAATATTTGAGCATTCTGAAACTGCATATTTCCATAAACTCACTCTGGCTGTGAAAGGGGAAGGTCATTTTCAATGAAAGTTTGATGCAGTTGGGCAGTAACATTCTATGACTGTAAGAATTGATTAGCAGCTTTTAATTCTTTAATTCCAAGCAGGAGAGGTTTCGCTTTGATGCCTTTGACTTATGCTGGGATCTGTGACATCAGCTGAGGGAGCAGATATGAATTTGAAACAAGTGGTTTAGTGATTTACAATGATGGTAGCATAACTTCCCCACTAATGGGGGAGGGAGAACTCCAGAAGTCATTTTGATTGTGGGTTGTTTTTTTTAACCATCAAAGCAGA